TGCTCTTCACTGATCACTAGATCATCATTATGGAGATACTGATCTCCATAATGAATCTGTTGCCAAACCTTGTTATTTCTTTCTCTACAACATTTCTTATATAAGCCCCCTTCTATCCACTTACACAGCTGCCACCCTTATTAACCTCCTCATTGCTCTGACATCAGAACAATTTTCCCCATTACTATATTTGATCAAATAAAGCACCATTAGAAGATTTCTCTTTCACTCAAAAATAAAAATTGAAATGAGAATTCATTTGTGAATTTTAAAAGATAAAGATTTCTATTTGGACAATACTTCTCATTTACAGTATTGCAATAGCTTCCTAACTGGTCTGCATGTCTCAAGTCTCTTACTGCTTCAATCTATCTTCCACACAGCAGTCCCAATGATTTCCATAAATCATTTTGACCATGTAACACCTATCTACCCACTCACTCAATAAACTCTGGTGGCTCCCTATTGCCTCCAGAATAAAATACGAAACCGCTTTCTGGCAGTTAAGGCTCTTCACAACCTGATCCTTCCTGCCTTTACAATCTTGTTGCATTCTATTCCTTTTTGCACACTCTATAATCAGCCACATTGGCCTACTTACTATCCTTACTGGATTTGCTACATATAAATGACGCTTAGTTCCTAGTAATTACTCTGAGAAGACTTAAAGAAAATTAGTATAAGAAATCAACACAAAAGCACTTGCCCTCTGTTTGCTTGAGGTGGAGGGATTTTTATTTTATCATTTTTAGGACTGGAGGGTCAAATGCAATTCGTAGTTAAATCAGGACATGCCTGTGCTCTTTTATTCATTTGGATCCTAGGCAAGCAGCTGGGGAAAAAATCACAAATGCTTTTAAATTGGACCCTTTGAGAAAACAGGAGGTGATCAAAGAATCAACTTGCAGAGGGAGGGAGAAAGGAGGGAAAGAGGGAGAGAGAGAGAGAGAGAGAGAGAGAGAGAGAGAGAGAGAGAGAGAGAGAGAGAGAGAGAGAGAGAGAGAGAGAGAGAGAGAGAATTTCTAGTTATCTGAATCCTAAAGTGATTCCTGTATCAGTATAACAAGGGTAAAAAGATATCTTTGTAGGAATGTTGCCATCTGAAGTTATTATTCAAACTCAATTCCAGACAAAAGGGAAGAGGAAGAATAGAATGTGAGGAGACAGGGAAACTTAACAGCTTCACTGACAGAGAATTCACGGTACCATTTTCAACTAGGAGGCAGTGAGCCAGAGGAGGGGAAAGAACTAGCTTCTCACCTAAAACTATTCCATTTCAATTCAGTCACAGAGTTTAATTAGAAAAGCATGGAAGTTGGTGTATCTTGCCTGAAGACTTACCTAAAGGCCCAATTCCATATCTTCCATTAGTGCCACAATATAAATCAAATAGAAATCTTTATCTTTTTAAACTTAAAAATGGATTATCATTTTAATTTTCTATTTTTGAGTAGAAGGAGAATTTAAATCTTTAAATGATGCTTTTTTATCAAATACAGTAATGGGGGGGAGTTGTTCTGCCATCAGAGTAATAGGGAAATTAACATGGGATGTAAAGAAATTATTATATTGTGGAATGGAATATAGAATTATACTGTTTTGCTTACTCTGTACTTTCTCCTTCTGTAGCTGTATTGAAATATTTAACTGAAGATTCTAGGCTCTCTGTGTTTGCCTTGAATATGTTATGTTTCACAGTCACATTATCTATTTGGCTCTATTTGACTGAAAGGCAGCATGGTACAATGGTAAGAGATATGGCCTCAAAGCCAGTAAAACCTGAATTCAAGTCCTGATCCTGCCTGATAGTGTGATCCTGGGCAGGACTCTAATCTCATCTAGGCAGCTCTTTGTAAGTAGCAGAAAAGGTGACAATCTGCATTGATAGAGGGAATTTCCTCTTCTGGGAGTTCCCTATCCCAATGAAATCACAGATCTAGTACCAATCCTACTTGACTATTGGGTTAAATGATGGGAATTACTCTTGTAATATATTTGGTAGATACTTGGCTTGAATAAGCTAGCACTGGATGCAGTCAGGTAAATAATGTCTTGAAAGTATAATTCATTCTTTCCCTCTCTCAGCCTATTTATTGAATAATCATTGGGTGTTATACAATACTCTATTACATGTTACAAGTTAAAATTACATGGAAAATCTCTATGATACTTTCATTTCTCTAAGAATAATTAAGATTACAAGCTACCTATGCTTTCTCATGCTGTATAATTCTTGTCTGTGTTCTCACATAAATCTTCCATATAAAAGCTATTCAATGTGCTGTAGGCCTTTCTCCAGGTCTTTAACAATCTATGGGTACCCATGCAGCACTCAAGATGCCCATCTGTTATGTTTTGCTGCAGCAACTCTCTATGCAAAGATCTAAAACTCTAAATAGATGAGATGGTGTAACATCTTGCAAATGAAAACACATGCAGCTATTAAGCATGTGTCCACACTGATTGGGATTGATGGTATGTTCAGAACAATTTCTACTTTTTTGGAAAAAAAGCTTCATGAATGTGTTTAAGGGGTATTCAGATATGGTTTACTGGATGGGAAGAAAGGAGTTGCTCTAGTTATGTGGGTGCCCAATGTTAGAGACAGGGAATATGAAGAAGGCTCACCCTGTCCTGTTTAATGAGTGACTTGTGTCACCCACGTGGAGTCTAAGCAGATTCTAGGAATCCTTCACTTAACTCATGGATCATCTTTCCACCTGCCACCTTATCACTGAATGCACACACTTCACCTCTCCCATCCATTTTCTTTTCCAGTTATGGAACTATAATCAAATTAATAGTGCCATGGATACTGGAAAAGGTGTGTCGATCTATTCCCCTGAGGATCCCCTCATGATTCCTGTAATATTCAAAACCAAAATTTCCCTCCTTGGCCACCACTTTCCTATAAGTTTTACTTATACTCTTAAGAGTCTTGAGAGCAAAGACTGTCTTTGCTTTTATATTTTTCTTCTTAGAATTTAGCACAATGATTGGCATATAATAAGTGCTAAATAAATGCATTTTACTCATTCACTTAGAGCAGGGAATTCATGAGCCAAAGTCAGTCAGTCAATAAGCATTTATTAAACACTTACTTTGTGCCAGGCACTGTAACCAAGTGTGAATAAAATAAGAAAGTTAAAGCAAACCAGTAGATTGCCATGAAACTCATGATGGGGAATGTTCAACATATCTTGGAAAGAAATTGGGAGCCATTATAAGGTTTTGAGATAGGAAATGCTAAGTGCAAAGTAAACACTCATTAAAGCAAGCTCATTGATAATACCTGACATGGGTTAGACTTAGAGGTAAGCAAGCTTTTGAGAAGAAAATTTCATAGATACTATAAGACATGGAACATGTGATGTGGGTCCAGCAAGTAAGGGATAGAACTGAAAAAGATAACCTGAAGAAAAGGGAACAAGAAAATAGTGATTAACTAGATTAGTGGTAAGTAAATATCCATAAGTGGAGAGACTTTCAAAGCTTGACTGAAGAAAATGTCTGTGGTTGCCAGTAACAATAAGGTAGCTAGGCAAGTGGGAGGCCCTAAGTAGAAGAATAAGATCAGTTTTCATTGTGTTTAACTTGAGGTGGCACAACATGAAGTAACTCCTTAATAACAATAATTTTCCCATGTAGAGAACTTTAACTCAAATTCATTTTTGCTCTGGGCTGTTTTCTTGGTGAAATTATGATATTTAAAATAACAGAGAAAAATAGCTCTGTTAACAGTTTCTTTTGCCATATGGGAACTAAAGATTCTGTTGACAGTTTCTGTGGTATGGTCCTAAATCAATTAGTTTGGTCTTCTATGAATAAGCAATTAAGCATAATGTTAGGGAACAACAAAGCATAGAGTATATGGGGACACTTTTAACCATTTCTGTAGAAAATGCTATGCATTCTGGAATTATGTTGATTAGTAATTAGCAGAAACCAGATGGGAAATCATGCTGTCTCCCCAGGACACTAATGGAAACAAGTCACAGAATTTGTCTCTTGGAGCTTTTCCTGCTGAAATATGTTTTAACTCAACCTTCAGGGTTGGTTATCATCTTGACATTTCATTTTAAAACAGGCAACATGCACTAGTGGCTTTAATGTAATTAGATTTTTCAAAGTACCTTAATTACTGTATTTAAGTTTATACTCTTCACATCATGAAACACAGCCAAACTGTCCACCAAGCTAGGACTTCAAGGAGATTTTGTACATGTAATTGTAAATTGTAAATTGTAAATGCAACCTGCCTACACTTCAGAGAGACCATGATCTCATCTAGTGACTTTTATAAGGGTGAAGTCCCACAAGTGATAGACCACAGGCATAAAGAAAGCTTGTGCAATTAATATTTTGAGAACAGGGGCAATTTTTTATTCCTCTTTTTTTTTCCTGAAACAATTAGCTCCCAAACCAGATTTTTAGGACTTAAATATTTCTTGGGTTAGGTAAACAAGTTTTTTTTCAGTTTCCTACAATTTTGTTATAAAAAATAAAAGGTATCTCAAAAACCTCTAGCAAAGGTATATTTGATTTTGAAATGAATAACATGGTTCATCAAGGATTTCATGGTCTCTGAAGTTTGTTTGTTTTTCTAAGAAGACCATAGCCTAGAAATGAATAATAGAATCTCCATTTTCTATAGAAAAATAAAGACAGCTTATAGTGGTGATTTCTTAAAAGAATCATTGCTAAAGTTCTTTAAAAAAAATGCATAGGGGCAGCTGGGTGGCACAGTGAATAGAGCACCGGCCCTTAAGTCAGGAGGACCTACGTTCAAATCTGGCCTGAGACACTGGACACTTACTTGCTGTATGACCCTGGGCAAGACATTTAACCCCAATTGCCTCACCAAAAAGCCAAAACAAACAAACAAGAAAATGCATAGAAAGATTTAGCTGAGCAATAGCACAGTCCATGGTGGAAGCAAAGACTATTAACAAAATTGTACCTATTTAATTATCTTGATTAAAATGATTTCTTGTTGATAGATTATCACAAAGGAACTAGTACACATGATCCTGGAGACTTCGTAGACACCACAAGACGTTATCAGTGTTCCAAGAAACATTTTGAAGAGAAGAAAAGTGGATCATCATCATTTATCTCATCCATTGATGATGAACAAAAACCTCTCTTCTCCAGAATAATGGATTATGCTCCAGGAACAGAGAAAAGAACCAGCTTGAATTTTGAAGAACAAACTATGACCACTTCAGAAAGACTCCATCTTGATAAAAGAAGTCATTCTTACAAAGGTAATTAACTTTCTCACTCTCTCTCTTTCTTCAATACTGGTTTTCAGGTAGGGAGAAGGATGTTTTTGCCAATTAGCATAACTAAACATGTTACTTCCATTTTTTGAGGATTTCAAGACTTTGGTATTGAATGACTAAGGCATCTATCTAATTATATTGCATTGAAGGAAGGGGAGAAGCATTTATATATTACCTACTAAGTGCCAGGCACTGCCCTAGGCACTTTACAATTATTGTCTCACTCAGTCTTCACAACAATGCTGCGAGATTGGTGCTTCTATTACCCCCATTTTACAGTTGAGGAACCGAAGCAAATAGAGGTTAAGCGATTTGTCCAGTCACACAGCTAGTAAGTGTCTAAGGTCACATTTGAACTTGGGTCTTCCTGACTCCAGGCCCAGTGGTCTATCCACTGTACTACCTAGCTACCTCTGTAGTGGGACATTGACTAACAATGATTTCCAGCTAGGTGGCTCAGTGAGTGCTGGCCTAGAGTCAGGAAGATCTGAGTTCAAATCAAACCTCAGATACTTACCAGCTATGTGACCCTGGGAAAATTACTTAACCTCTGTTTGCCTCAGTTTCCTCATCTGTAAAATAAGGATAATAATAGTACCTACCTCCCAGGGTTGCTGTGAAGATTGAATAAGATAATAATTATAAAGTGCTTAGCACAGTGCCTGGCACATAGTAAAAGTTTAAAAATGTTAGCTATTATTATTAATATGCCACATGACACTTTGAAGCCTATAAAGATACTTTATTCCTTCTGTTTTGTTATTCAACAAATACTAGATGCCTTCTATAGCAAGTTCAAGACACTATGGTGGGCATGGAAAGGATAATATTTAGAACTTCAGCCCTAGATAAGAATTAGCATTAATGCCTACTTAATCACAAAGATCAAAGTTAAGGACAATGATATCTCCAAAACATTAAGAACAGTTACTTAGTGGAAATTATGAGGAAAAGAGAAAGATGATATGAATGGGAAAGCAAGACAAATAATTTGAAATCAATGCACTGTTATGCCCAATAGAGTAATGAGGAAAAAAATAGATACAGATTATATAAAATATGTGTGATATGTAAATATGTAAATATGTAAAATATGCATGAATTGAAACTAAGGAATACTTGAATTTAAGTGATCAAAATCTGAGCAGAAGAGGAATTCATTGGTGCATTATAAACTCTTCTCCTCCCGACAATTCACTGATCTTGGCCTGCCAGGAAACTATACATCCTTCAAACTCCCATCTCCAATGAATGAATGAGTGGAAAGGCACTTATTAAGCAATTTCAATATTTCAATCACTATGCAAAGCACTGGGGATACACACACAAATGAGACAGTTCCTACCCTCACAGAGCTAACATTTTAATGGAAAATACAGTCAATTAACTAGTCAACTAGCATTTATTAAGTGCCTATATTATACCAAGCACTGTGCTAAGCACTGATATACAATATATATAAGGCAGTGTAGTGGCAGCTAGATGGCACAGTGGATAGAGCATTGGGCTTGAACTCAGGAAGACTCATCTTCTTGAGTACCAATATGGCCTTAGATACTTACTAGCTTTGTGACCCTGGGCAAGACACTTAACCCTGTTTGCCTCAGTTTCCTCATCTGTAAAATAAGCTGGAGAAGGAAATGGCAAACCATTCCAGTACTTTGCCAAGAAAACCCCAAATAGGGCCACAGAGACTCAACACAACTCCAAACAACTCAATAGCAACAACAACAACAACAACATAAGGGAATGTTGGGCAGTGAGGGGTATATGTTGACTTGGAAAATCATAGGGGAATTGATTGTCATGGCCTTTCCAGAAGCAATGGTAGTTTTTATTTGATTGTGGTTTCAAAGTTAGAAAGCAAGACGGAAGGAGAGGGCATACACTAGGTATCAAAAACTAGGGTAGAATGTGAAACATATCTAAGACTGGCTAATATAGAGGGCTATGTGACATTGACCAATTCAGTCAGTCAGTCAGTCGATAAACATTTATTAAGCACTTATAATGTGCTAGGCATCGTACTGTGTAGTAAGGATGTAAAGAAAGGTAAAATGTAGTTCCCTTGCCCTCAAGGAGATCACAATCTAACAGGGGAAGACAATACATAAAAATAAGTTGAAAAGGGGAGGTAGGGAGGATACCTGGGGTGGGAGTATGATGAAATCAGGAGTGAAGCTGGAGGAAAATGATGAGAGGACAGCCCTGGATGTCCTCCTTAACTGGAGGATCTCTCCAATGTCCACCTTTCATTTTTTGTTGTACAGTTGTTTCAACTGTGTCTGGCTCTTTGGGACAGCATTTTGGGGTTTTCTTGGCAAAGATACTGGAGTGGCTTGCCATTTCCTTCTCTAGCTTATTTTACAGATGAGGAAACTGAGGCAAACAAGGTTAAGTGGATTGCCCAGGGTCACAAAGCTAGTAAGTATCTAAGGCCATATTTGAACTTATGAAGATGAGTCTTCCTGATTCCAAGCCCAATGTTCTATCCACTGTGCCATCTAGCTGCCACTACACTACCTTATATATGTTGTATATCAGTGAGTGGCTTGCCATTTCCTTCTTCAGCTCATTTTACAGATGAGAAAACTGAGGCAAACAGGGTTAAGTGACTTGCCCAGGGTCATACAACTAATAAAGATCTGAGGATGGATTTGAACTCATGAAAGTAAGTCTCTTCATGATTCCAAGGCAAGTACTCTATTCACTGCACCACCTAGATGCCCAAGGTCCATTCTCCACCCTCTCAAATTAGAGGGAGAGAGAGCCCCTGGGGCCAAGCAGTACGAAAGAGGTGTGTTTTGAAGTTAATGTGATTTTTTTAGGATGATGAGAATTAAATGAAGTCTGGGAGTAAAACTGGATGGGAAAATTCAGGCCCCAGGGAAGGAATCCTATAACTAAGACGGTTAAGTCCTCCAGAATGTGATCTGGTCCAGGATGGCAGGGACCACCTGTCCAGAAGGTGCAGTGGCAGGGGAAAAAATGGCAAGGAGATAGCCAGGGTGCCACTACTTCATGAATGAAGCTCTCCAAACAGGACATCTCTACTCCCTCTCTATTCCCATAACACTTTGCTTTTATTTCTTTTATGACCAGAGTACTGATCATATCGTGTCTTGTACTATATTTTTGTACATAGTTTATCCCTCTTCACATACGCTCACACATGCTAGACTGTAAGCCACTTAAGAGAAGAGATGATATCTTCATCTTTCTATCTCTCCCAGTATCTTGCACACAATGGGATCACAGCTTTAGAACTGCAAGTCACCTTTAAGTCCATGTACTCCAAATACCTCATTTTAGACATGAAAACTGAACAGTGTCATAAAGTGACTTGCCTGAGTTCATGCAGAGAGTTGGTAGCAAAGCCTCAATGAAACTCTGTTCAACGACAAATGAAAGAAAACTAGCTTTTGCCCCAATACCTCTTTGAAATATGCTAAGAATGTAGGCAAATGTTCTTCAGTCAATCTAAAATCTTGAGGAAATGAATGAAATAGTTCCTCATTTTTCACAATGGAAATGTGGAATATTAGCTGTGGCTACTAAATGTTTTATTTCAGCTATTCATGAAAAGTGGATATTTTGGGAACTCCAAGAATAGAAATAGAAGCAGGTTGTATAACCTAAGTCAGCAATTCTGCAAACCTCTCCACCCCCTCTGCCTTCTTATAAAGGTCAGTTGAGCTTGGTCCTGATAGAATATGTTCTAGGGCTTTTTTCCATTCAATTTTTTTCCTTTCATTTTCAATGTCTTGAGTGTCAAACTTCTTTAGGAAGCAATTTTAATATCTATAAGTGTTCACCAACAAAGAACATTTTCTTGTCCTTCAGCCTAGATTTTCTTTTGTCTTTTCTTCTAATTATTGTATCTAGCTTCCCCATCCCACCCACACAATTCTAAATAATTATTCTGCTAACAAATTTAATATCCACAATTCTTTGGTTTTCAAATGTTTGACAAATTAATCACTGTTCAAAAAATAACTATCTTAGCAGATGCATATCAAAGTATATGTCATACCAATTGGCTAAAATAATTGATGCCATGTGGCATCAATCCGTATAAACAGTTAAACCTAATTAAGGGGCAATTATTAACCAAATGTAGAGCAACAAACTTAATTAATTTCCCAGTAATTTTTAAGGGAGAATATAATGGAATGCCCAAGAAAGTGGATATTATGAAAGTTTTAGTTTTTGGAAGATTCACTTAAAGTAGCTGCAATTAGAACTATTTTCATAGAATGATTAGTTATTGTCCATTTCTCACATAATGCTGTTTCACCAACAATAAGGCATTTCATCAGATTGAATTTTTGACATCGGGTCAAAGGTTTCCCATGAGAAATATAACAGAATACCACATTTGATCTCCTTCTCCCTCCCAAAAGAAAAGTTAAGTAGAATCAGCTTCTTTTTAGAGGAAGGTCAAAAGTTAAGTCTACCAAAATTTTGTCCCCATAGCCATTTGAAAGTTTACTTTCTGTTCACTCATTTCCAGAAATGTGTCCTTGCAACTATAGCAACATTTTCCAAGGCAACCAAGTTCTGATTCTATTTTGAGCTATATTTAAAAAGTGTCTCCACAGATGTTCAGTTTGATTAAGACCACAAACCAGCACTTCCCCTTTGAACTCCTGGTTTGTTTTTTTTTAATTGCAGTTATTGAAAGTCAATTTTATTTCTTCCTATCTTAATAAAATTATAAAATTAAATCAAGATAGCTTCCCCAGAAGTATCTTGCTTTTCTAACATCATTTAGAGATCAAAATTTTCTCTTGAGGTATTGAAAAATAAAATCACCCACAATTTATTGTTCTGTGATTCAGTTTTCTCTTCTTTAAAAAATAGTAGCACCAAGAGCAGTTTAAATATAGGCTGATGTTATATGGTCTGCCTTGGCTCAATATTCTCCAGTACAATCTGTGATCACCATTCTCTGTTTTTGTCATCTCAGTATTCTCTTCAAA